AGGCTGCCCAGGGAAGTGGTGAAGTCACCATCCCTGGAGGTGTTCAAAAAACATGTAGATGTGGCACTTCTGGATCTGGTTTAGTAGGCGTGGTGGTGTTGGGTGGACGGTTGGACTTGATAATCTTAGAGGTCTTTTCCAACCCATGGTTCTGACTCAACAAAACCTTTCAGTCAGGTTATGCTTTGCATTCAATGAACAGGCTAATGACAAGAAGCAAAGCTAAGCTATCCCGACTGCTTTGTGAAACGTACAAGCACTCTGTCTCATTTTAGTGATGTGCACAAGACAAAAAGCTATTTACATCAAGCCTTCCAAATTCCATTTTATAAAACAACAACAACAAAAAATAACACAGAAAAAACAAACCACAGTTGCTTCACTCTTTGTAGTTTAGAAGTAGAAAAAATTAACAGTAACGCTAGAGAACTCTGAGGCACAATACAGAACTGGACTTTTTTCTAATATGGATAAAATAAACCACCTCTTGGGACACAAACACAACCATAGCACAAAACTTTCAATATCATATTAAATGAAGACAGCTCTGCCTGAATAAATATTTTGCCTTATAAAAGGGATTTTGCTAGAGAAGGTTCTTTCCTACAATACTTCAATATCCACACAAATGTTGCATTCCTTACCGGTACCCTGCTAAGAGGGGGCTTTGAAGGAGAGGTCCCTGGTTTCACTACTGCTGTCGCAATGCTGCTTGGTGCCGAAATATAGCTGACGGGGGTCATCACTTGCCCAGGAGTGGCAACTGGTGTCAGCACTGGCAAGCCAGTTGGTCCAAGAGGCAAACTGCTTGGAGGTATACAAGTGCTAATGGATGTCAGGGGTTTAGTTGGGGCAACAGCAGTGGTTGGTATCCCAGGAATAACCGTAGTTTCCATTACCAGCGACGTCTCCAGAGATACTGACGGATGCGCTGTCCCCACGTTACCATGTTCACTGAAGAGAGACCGCAGCTTTTCTTCCAGGGTCTTTATATCATCAATACCAGGAGCTTTAGACTGAGCATCAGCATCAGCCTCCAGACAGTGAATATGAGGCTGATTGGGTAACGGAGCTGGCTGAGGCTGGCTGTGTATCAAAGTTTGCTGTACTGCAGGCAAGTTAGTAACTGGTTGTGGCAAGACACCAGGTAAGGGAACCTGGGGCAACATCGGTGTTGCACCTGAAATCTGGGGTATAACAGGTGTTGATGTAATTCCTGATGGGACAAGTAAGGGATGTATCACTGGCTGAGTGACTGAACCACATACGCTTGTTGCTACTGAGGATGATAAAGGTGCAGAGATTGGAAGAGATAAGCCAGCTGCATTGCAGAGCTGTGATTTATCCATAGACTGCCCACTCTCAGATAATGACTGTGGAGCACTTACAACTGTTGTTTCTGCCAGATTGGAGACAGAGCCACTGCTACTAAGCTGAGGAACCTGCAAAACCACATTCTGAGCCAGAGACAGGGCAACAGATGTCTGTGGTGCTGCCATGCTACTTGCAATCTGAGGAGTAGACTGAGATGTCACAGCTGGTGCAACAACACCAAGACCAGTGACACCAGGAACCTGGGTAGATGGCAATGCCAAAGACGATGGTGTGCTGATACTGGGGGCAATGTCTCCAGTTACTTGTTGAGCAGGCTGGGACGTGGTAGGTAAGGAGAAAGAAGCAGGGGCGCTCACACTAGAGGCAACACCAGTCGATTGCTGTCCAGATTGTGAGGCTGGAGGTGGAGAAACAGAGCTTGGCACACTTGCGTTTGGTGCAGCTCCAACAGCTGCACTTTCTGAAGGCAAACTAACAGATCCTGGAACAGAAACACCTGTACTGGAGGGAACAGATATTGAAGAAGTAGCCACAGATGCAGGAGGTGCGCCACTGCCTGCCATGGTAGAGAGTGCAGGTGGAAATGGTGGTATTGTTTGATTGAACACTGGAGGAGCTGTACTAGGTCCTTCTGTCATTTGAGCATGCCCCATCTCAGAAAAAGCTTGCTGCAAGCTCAGTGATGATGCCGAGTGAGAGAGATTCATTCCAGGACCATGCATTGGAGATGCAGCAACTGGAAGAACAGAAAAATGTCAGTCCACCTGGAAAAGTTAATTACAGTATTATTGTCTATTGCTAGACTAAACTCACATTTATTTCTCCGCATAATAAAAAAGTTGCAAATTCAGGCTTACATTAAAATACAGAATTAAGGTTTCAGAGTCTTGCAGGCAGCCCATCAACATTTTTTCCCCTGAGAATCCTGCATGTATCATCCAAATTTACCCATGTCTTCCAGCACAGGTCGCTCCTCACTAAGTGGTGTTTAGGAGCAGCTTAGTTAATTAACTTCACTGTTTTAATGAACATGTCTTCGCCACCAGATTTTAAGAGTTTAGATAACTTACCCACATCCAGAGCTTCGTTTCCTCCAGGAACAGCAGATGGGAAAAAGCCCTGCTCTTTTAACCGACTCTCAGGGACAGGGCTGACAATAAACCGTCTTCCTGCAGAATGGACAACCTGGGTAAAGGAGCTAGGAGGAACCCCTAAACAGAAAGAAGTTACATATTTAGTGATGCATGGTTGTAACTAAATACATAACCTGCAATATGGAATGTGTACTCCATCATACAAAATAAAAACTCGGCTGCACCCATCCGCTGAAACAGAAAAAGGTAACTGTCAAAAAAAAAAAATCACAAAAGACTTACCTATTCTTTGTGGCATGGAAGATGTAGGATCTGGCTGTTTGAACTCTAATTTCTGTAAAGTAAGATAAAATTTAAAGTTCTATTCCGAAACATAAACCCACAAGATAGTTCTTAAAATGCTACCTTACTGAAATGTGGGCATTTAAGGTAAGCAGTACCTTGGACTCAAGCACCGTTACCAAACTAGTTGAATTCTACCCACATAAATGCCAGCTACAGTGCTTTTAGAGCTTCTCAGCTTGGTGACCATCAACACAACAAACTGGTCTAAAAACTCTTGTTAACAGGCAGTCCAGCTGATTTCCTTAAACATTCTGCAGATAAATGGATGTTTCAAACTAGTTCTGGGTGGAAGTAAGGCAGAGATTTCGGAAATGTCACCCCTTCTTATTCCCAGCAACCAGTTTCAAAGCCCGTGTTTTCTAACCAAACCATCCAATCTCTTAGTAGCTTCACTGGGTAGAGGGCCTGAGTCCAGGCTCTCCATGTTTAACAAGCAGCACAGGACTGTGGGTTTCAGTGTCCTGCCTCACAATAACCTCAAATTTGAGAAGTTTCAGCATTCAAGACTGTCTGTTTAGTGGAGTGTTAGGAGATTCAGCAGCTTCAGAAGTGTTAGAACACGTCAAAAAGCAAGAGGTCTACGTCATTTAGCTTTCTAAATTAATTTTAGGTTCTCACCCCAATATGAAGCTTTTGCTGTTTGTCTTTTCATTTAATTATTAAGCTTTGATATTTCTCACGAAAGAAAGTTTCAGTTTCTAGCTAGCTCTACTCACAAAATCATACCACCCAAAAGGGAAAATACAAACAGCTTAGCCGATCTGTCCTTTACATACCTGTGACCCTGGAAAGAAGCCATCATCTTTTGTCTGCATACTCTCCAAACCCTGATCACCTTCTGGCTCCACACTTACATCCTCGCTTAGCATTTCATCTGCTTTCTCAATAATCTCTCGTACCTGTTCTACGAATGAGTCTCTCTCGGTTGCCAAAATAAACTCATTCTGCACCTGTGAGGAGAACAAAGCAACAATAATTACCCACAAATTATTTCAAAACTACATACTGAATAATCATAATTTACTTTCAGTGTTACTGTTTGTGCTCCTTCACTGTTCTTCTGCACAAGATAAAGATGGTGACACCTTAGAGATAAACAACTGTTTCTAAAATTGTCTCTGACACAGAAGTACATATGGGGAGAGGAAGATTGTTCAGCCTATCTAGTTTCAATACATTGCACTGGTTTATAAAAATATATTCTGCTACTTATTTTGGAGGAAACTAGCTTAAACAGTAGACTTCACACTTAAAAAGACATTCTTAGTTCGGTCTGCCCCATGAGAAAATTCTGTCTCCTGAAATAATGCCTGGTAAAACTCTGAGGCAGTCTATGAAACAGCAGTACAGCTGTCAGTCACAGTATCTCTGCTGGGAAAGACAAAGTGCAGTAGAGGTAAAGCCCGAGACATTGCTTTTACATCACGTTTCCACAATGCTGGCTCAGAAAAAGGGAAAACAAGCGTGATGTGCTTATACCAGCCTTTGCAAGTTAAAGAAATCTTGAGTGCTTTAAGCTGAGCAACAACAGACACCCATATGGGGTATGCCTAACAGCATCCTGATTCAAAGGAAACCAGAAAGTCTTACAACCAAGGGTTTCCTCGACATTCCAGAAGAAACTGATGAGCACAAAGTTCCAGATTCACCTGTCTAAATGAGGTTGTACAATTTCAACTACGTGGCTGCATTCTGGATGAACACTTCACCACTTTTGCTTCTACTCATGTTCAAATATCTGTGGGTTTTGTTATTTAGTAGTGGGTTTGTTTTGTATTTTTGGGGGGGGTGGGGTTGGTTTGGTTTTGTGTGGTTTTTTTGTTTTGTTTTTTTAACCAACCATAGTCTTATTCCTCCATAGGATTACTTTAGGTATGAGGCAAGACATCTCTGTATTCTTTCCGTATTTCTTGGCATTTACCTTCATGTTATTGAGTTGTTTACACTGCCAATACACATACACAGCCAACAACTGATTTCTTCCTCTTTCTTGGAAAGCCATTAGTGGCAAAGAGATAATTTTTCCCACGTCACTGATTTGGTTCCTTTTGACAGATATGAATCCAGCACACACCACCTATTATTCTGCCTCCTCTCCAAGCTAAAAGATGAATACTGCACAGATTCACATACATTCAGATTGCACTAGCCCAGGAATAAGAATTTAAGTTTGAAAAAAAGGGAGGGGTAGGTTCTATTCCATGCTACACAGTACTCCCATTTAAGCACATCTCTACAGGGCTGTTTTCTCTACAAGTTGTTTTCTATGCTTGACCATTATACACCAAATTGAGAGGTTTTTTCCTTTGAGAAAGTGAAAAGTAGCATCAGTCATTACTGACTTTCATAAACCAGAAAGTGATTCCCATTGCTTAGTTTAAGGGCAGAATCTTGCCATTTCAGTTGAGAACAGCAGCAAAAAACTTCAAAGCTTAAGCGTAAGTTTTAAAGATCTAGCCATGTTTGCTCTTAGAAAAGCAAAGAGAATTTTTTTAACCTGGTGCTTTCAGAAGTTGTATGCAGTTTTTCAAAAAATTAGATTGCATTAAAACAAAAAGCAGATTTACTTGACAAAAATGCAATTCTAAGGTAAAAACTGACACAAATTTTCACATGAACAGAGCATGCAATATGAACTGCCAATTTGGTACACCACTCTGTGCCCGGAGTCTCTAGTTGTGCTTGCGTACCAATAAGGTGAGAACAGGCCATGCTAAATGGCAGAGCAATTCTGAGACACAAATGAGAAAATAAGACTGTTTATATTACTACTGTGATTAAGACTGGATTCAATTATTCATCTCTAAAACATATCTTACCATAATTGAAGCTATTTCCTCAGGGTTGTCACCATCCAAATCAAATTTGAAAGTAACCATTTTCCGATTGTGTGTCTCTAGCTGGCATTCCACTACCCGATCACCTTTATTTGAAACCTAAAGCAAAGCAAACCACAGTTCAAACCAAAAGCCTGAGAACGTAAGACTTGTGCTTTCAAGCTCAGAGACAAACCAACAGTACTGTTCTAATACACGCACATTCTCTCTTGCCAGTCTAACAAACGGTCCCATGTAAAGCATTATTTTTTCTGAGGATCCGCCAGTTCCTCAAGACTCCAAGCTCACTTCATCCACACTTTTCTCTAAAACTCCTGATGCTCCCTTGTTTCTTTCGAGCTTACAGGTCAGGTCACTGGTCTAGCTTTACTAGTAAGACTAAATCACATATTCCAGAATAGTCTGTGGAATCACTCTTGGCTAAGCAAGCCAATTTTGCCATATCTAATGCTCCAAAAAGCTCTTAATGGGTGACATTTGGCATGCTGACTCCAGAAGCAGAAGAAATACACTAGATAGCTTCTGTGCTCAGAGGCGGTTGGGGTGGGAAGACGACCACACAAGACACACATTCCTCAAAAGACAAGAAAATTCTGGAAGTCATAAAATGCATCACCACTATCAAACTGTCACTAAAACAGAAAAACACTCACATTTAGAATTCTCAGTTTCGGCCTAGCAGTCTTCTCATGGCGAGAGCGACTGCGGACAGACCTCCGCATGTGACGTTTAGTAGTCCTCCCTTCATGCCTTCCACTAGAAGCTGGAACATTCTCATTGCCATCACTCAATCCTGAAGCAACATCAGAATGTGCACTAAAAAAAACAAACTTTACATTAGTATCCATGCACTCCACAACTGCAACAATACAGTTTACCCTACCAGATGGTATTCTTTTCTGGACAGCAGTAGCTGCCTGTTCATCACGGAGTAGGGGAGAAGAGTCCTGTCAACACTTAGGGTTGCTTGAATAGCAATTCTAATAGTAATTATTTAGCTACACATCTCTTCCAAACTGAGTTGTACAAATATGACCTCATGAATAGGTTTTCAAGCTATTTGGAGCTTGAATTCTCTTCAAGTGCCAAAAGGACAGAAAAACGTCCCTTATGAACCATCCGACATGAGAAATAAGAAAGGATTAGAAATTCAATCCCTATACACAATCCTATTCACTCCTCCCATACCCTGCTGTAAATCAAAACTTACTCCAGCTCTCACAAACCTTTTTTTCCTCTAGGAAGTTTATTTCCTCACAGCCCAAGAACAACCTCAGTAAAAAAAAAAAAATGTCCCCGGTGAAAAAAGATACCTAAAAATCATCAAGGACGAATAATCTAACACATGACACTGAATTCAGTCTGGTGAAAAGAAAACAACACTTACCTGTCCATAGAGGAAGCCAAAGGGGTAGACTGAGCAGGCTGTGTTGCTGGAAGAGTCTCTGAAGGCGCAGTCTGTGAGGCTCCCTGAGTACCCTATGGATAAAAACCTACATCAAGAACCCCCCAAAGAATATCATTCCTTTTCAAGTAACCCGGTCTTCAATGTTTCCTCCCAAATCAGTTGAAAAGCTAAAAGCATTACCTTTTTAGAACTTCAAACAGCTGGCATCTAGACAGCTCTAATTTACAAAATAACTACAGCAAACTGCAGTGAAGCAAATCATCATCTGGGGAGGCAGGGGGGAGAAGAAATCAGCCATCCTTTCTACTGCTGTGTGTCACTACAGTTTGCCATGCAGCCAGCCTTACCAACAGAATGCGCAAAAGGCAAGCCAATGCAGAACACAAAGACAATTCAAATTCCCCCTAGCAAGAACAACGCTGCAGGGAATAGGCATAACGACAGATTCTCAAAGGCTATCGGTTGCAGTTTGTCTTTGATACGGCAATAACGTCCTACAGTACTAGCAAGAAGTGAAGTGTTAACAGGTTTTTGCCTGCAGGATGCACACTCACTTCCCAACAGAACAGCCAGTGGCAACAAGGTCCCCACATTGGCATGACATTCTGCTGTAAGAAAAAGGTCATTTGAAATATTAATTTCCAACCGAAGACAAGCACAGAAGAGATTAGTTCCCCACACACATACACTGTTGCATAATTCAACGCCCTAAATGTATTGTTACATTATACTCAACGTATTTACCTCCAAAACTGCCTGCTGCGAGGACGCAGGTGAGGCCTGTTGTGCTAAACTCACTGTAGGCTGCGGCACTTGAACCTGTCCTCCTAGGCTGCCCATGGGAACTAAAACGTTCTGCTCCACATAGGGCTGCACAACAGGAGCAAGATAGCCCGGCTGAGCCATTGCATCTGTGGGCAAGGGAGGGGACAGTACGGCAGAAGGAATGCTAACAGAGGCCACAGCAGAGGAAGGTGCAACATTTGAATCGCCTGGGTATTGAGGCGGCAGCCGAGATGGGAAGCCCTGCAATAGAAATGAGGGAGTCAAGTTAGTTAATGTCAGAGCTAATTAGGAAACAACAGAGTTGAAAAAAAAACTATCAGCTTCAGGGGCTTGTTCCAACCTTCCGTACTTGCTCAAGCATTCCCAAAGACCACCTTCCCAGGGAAGCAGAGCAAACTGTTCACGTAGCCAAAGCTCAGCTTGAGAGGCACCGTGCTTGAACAAGCAAATTCCCACTCAAAGTTCCAAGTCTTAGGCAAAACAATCTTCATCTCCCAACTCTTGCAGTTGCCTGTTTGGCTTCGTATTTGAAGGGCTGAGACTTGTAAGGAGTCTGGAGACATTTCAGGATGAACAACTACTGCTCAGCAGGTGTTATGCAACCTCTGTTGATTCTTGAGACTAATAGCAAAAACATTCTTGCGTTCCTCCTGTCCTCTCGTGATGAGCTGACCTAGGAACATTCCTGCACACTGTTTCTATTCTACAGCACTCCTTATAATCCCAGTGCAAATATTTATACATCTATACAACTTTTCTTCTAGAAGAACAACCATATGCTGAGTCACTATTTCTGTCACCATTCAGATTGCCATTTTTACAGTGACAGCACAAAGTAGCTGAAGCAGTCTGTGCCCAACAGTCTAGCATTTCATGACTAGCATCAGGTACTTACATCACGTTCCAGATCCATGCCATCTGACATTCCTAGAAAATCCATGTCCCCCCTCCCATCTCCCTTCCCTGTTCCAGACTTGGAATGAAATACTGACATTGTTGAGTATGCTGCTACTGATTTTCTTTCCAACATGCATCCATCATGTTCAAAAACCACTATTTTTTGTTGGTTTGTTTATCCTCCCCCCCAATATGATCAATCTCTTGGATATGGAGCTGTCCTCTTTCACACAGCAGTTGACCAAAGTCCTGCACTACAATTCTGTCATTTTGGACAAATTCCACTGCCGAATATGAACAACACAACACACTAGCGTGTCTTCCCCCCCTCCTTAAAATGGTCCTTTACCACACAACAGAATTCATCTTTGTGGCTTAACGGCTCTCTTATGAGAAGTGAGTCGGCCAGCGCACACGGTTCAGGTCTGGTACCTTAGAGGAACAGGTAAAAGTGTGGAGAGGAGCTCTGCTGGCTTGCAACAATACCTGGTAAAGAGCATCTCCAGCAGGAAGTGAAGCTTCAGCAGCTTGTCCAATGCTGACTGGCAATCCCACGGACTGGACAGCTGGCTGCAGGAGCTGCGGAAGAACCTGGCTGGGCAACTGAGCCCCAGGCTGCATCAGTGTGGGAAGCTGGCTAGGGACAACGGTTGGTCCTACAGGGACAGCGGTTGCCGCAGCAGACGTTGCCATTGTGAGCAATGGCTGATTCATGCCAGCTGCCATTGAAATGGGCAGTGACTGGAAGCCTGGCTGAGCCACCGACACGTGAGGAGCTGCTACGGGCAACTGAGAGACTGAGAACTGGGGAACCATGGAAGTTGGCAAGGGCTGTCCCATGGTTAGAAAATGAGAGCCAATGGGGACTGATGGGGCAACTGAAGGCTGAGGGAGAGAAGGTGCTGCAACAGGTAATTGAGGCTCGCCTTGGATGATCGACACTGGTTGGGAAACAGGAAGCTGGGGAGGTAAAGAAAATAGAGATAGATTTTTTTTTTTTTAAAAAGCAGGGTTGCAGAAGGCAGAGTTTTTATGCATTAGTCAAAGAAAGAATTATTCAAGTTATAGCACTCTGTTAAAATGGGTGGGGTGCACAGTTGGCAGAGTGGCTGGGGGTCCCCAAGGTCCTCACTTCACAACACTTCCCCTGAAGAACTCAACAGGCTCTTGAAACAGACACCCACAGAGGGTGAAACAGCAATGTTTGAATACCCTGAAGCACAGACTTGTGCATAAACAGAGTTGACTTCCCCTCAGCTCTGTCCCCAGAGCCAAGCCCGCCTTCTTACAGGAAAGAAGTGCAAACCTTTCAACAAATCTGTCAGCTTTGGGTATGGGTCTAAAGCAATAGAGAATGAAAAGCCACTGTGCCAGCATTCAGAGAATGTCAGGGGATATGTCAATTAAAGCCAGTGAACGATGCAACTGGAAAGGCAGTTTAGATGAACAAGCAATAAAACAACAATTTTAAAAACCAAAATCAAGGCTCACACATTCAAGATAGAGATATGAGCCAAAATGAAGTAACAGTAACAGAAGCTTGACCAGGGAGTAAGAGAAGAGCTGAGTAAGAGAGATGACAGAGTGGAGAGGGCAGTCCTTATGGTTCACTACCTAAATAAGTGAAGGTTTTACACGCATAATGGTGCGGAAGATAGACATTGATGGGAAGCAGAGAATTTACCAGTTCCTGAAAATCCATTCATAATATACCATATGATATTTTTGACAATTTAAAGATCTTTATGCATGGAAGTGCCATCCCTCCCTCAAATTACTCACGACTGCCATGTGTGAAAGAAAGGGTTTCCAACACATTTTTCAACAAAACTGACAGTTGTAGCACACTAAGAATACTACTATCTGGATGAATGTTTTGGAACCATTAGAAAAGATGGCAAAAGTGAAAGCAGCAGCATGTTGAATTTGCCAGCTGCAAGGAAGAAAAAGTCCGCTGCTAGAAAGAAGAATTTTGTTTACCTGTGTCCCAGCTGCTGCCTGAGGCATTGGCATAATCTGCGAAGTTTGCGTTTGAGAGCCAGTTTGTGTGGGAGTGGGGCCAGCAGAAACTGATGGCTGCTGCAGCTGATATTGTCCAGGCTGCTGGGAAGAGGCTGGCTGCTGTGCATTCTGCAGTAGGGAAGAGAGAGACAGAAGCGATTGTTCCCCCCCTCAGAAGTTTTTTAAGCATATCCTATTTAATTTCTACTTTTTACTCCCTCATAAGTAACATCAGTGGTTCTTCTGAATATGCTGTTAATTAAGCTTTAGCAATTACTTATTAGCACTACTAATGCAACTCCATTATCAGCACCAGATCTTGCAACAGAATTACTTCACCTGTGAAAATAAGAGCGAAGATGCTATAAAGAAAGAAAAGGCAGTTAAGAGAAGATGATATTGCAGAAGATAATATTTCCAGTTGGAAGAAATCATGGGAACGAAATCTGCCTGTCTAGACAGTCTAAAATGCAAATCCTGACATGCCTCCCTTGAATGACACCTCCACTACAAGCTCAGGTGGAAGTTGGGGAAGACAGACAGATGAAAACAAGCATTAGCATGACTAAAAATAAATTTCAGAAAGTCAATGAAGTTAATCTCATAGGATATTAGACTGGGTGAGAACCAGAGAATTCCTTTGCTTTTGGACAAAACTACAGGTTGAAGCGGGGACAGAGGTAGTCAATTGCTCTTAAAGAGTCAAAATCCTACACTAAAGCTATTTTAGTCCTGGGTTTAGGGACTGTGATCTTACCTGCTGAGCGTGTTGGGTAGGCTGGGGTGGCACTGATGCACTGCTTGAGGCTGACTGGCCTTGCACCTGTGTCTGGAGGAGAAAAAAGACAGAGAATCAGCTTTGAAAACCCTATGGTTTCTGCAGCAGGCAGTTAAACACATTTCTGCCTGGAATGATCTGGTTGGAATAGGTTTCTAGCTGCCCTTTTGAACAAGCACTCCTTTTGGCCAAATTCCACTACAACAACCAGAACAAAGCAGAGCAATCTTGAAAAGTACTGAACTCCATTTTAAGTCTTCCAAAACAACCAATACAGAAAGTCTTTGCAACCCATATGCCCCTCAACATGAGACAGAACAGCCTACCAGCTTCTTCTTCCACTGATGATGCTTTAAGAGCAGGATGCCTTGGTATGATAACTGGAAACAGAGGCATTAAGTTTTACCTTTACATGTATTCTAAACACAGTTAGGTGGGGGAATAGAAGGAGGCTAGAAGGAAATAAAACTATCTGTTAAAAAAAAAATAAATCAAATACATACAGAATTCTAGGCCAGTAAAAAAGTACTCAGTACACGTACACATCATGATTTCCCTTTAAGAGGCATGTCAAAACACAAGCTAGAAATCAATTCCAGACTCACTACCATTCAAAAGCTACCAAGAATTGGACATTGAAGAATCTAGGGGTCCACATTCTAGCTAAGACAGAATTTTTGAATGAATAAGCAACGAAAAAAATGGATGAGTGGCATACAAATGAATGTGGAAGATGTAGAAAAAAATGGAATGTATTTTCATTATCATTTCTGTGCTGACATTTTTTACCAGATCCCAGGATTTTCATTATTATTTTTGTGACCATTATATTTCTTTATCAGATGCTGGGAGACAACTGGGTAAGGACCTCCAGCTGAGTTCCCTGAGCATGCACCACTTTGGTGAGCTGCCTTTTAAGAAACATATCACGTGCATATGCATCATACCAGAAATATCTACTAGAATTCCTTTATGCTGTGATCACTCAGCTTGTAGAAGCTTATTAGGAACAAGTTTATTAAAATTACGTACTTTCTTAATTACAGAAACTTTGGGGAAAGCAGACTGCCAATGAGAACAACCATTTTTTTCTTTGCTGTTTTAGAAGCTCGAGGCCCTATCTGGCTAGGATCTAAATATGTGCTGTATGCCACTGCTGTAACATCTATTAACATCAACTCCGTCTGTGATTCAAATTCTCATCTTTTAATGAATTAAAGACCCCAGAACTTATATTCTGTCAAATAATTGTGATCCCTTATTGTGTTTTCTAGACGTATTTTACATCCATCAGAAGTCACCTCCTCAAATTTAACAAAGGTGGTTTATGGGAAACAATCTCCAGTAATTTTCAAACTTCTTGAGTAGCAGCGTCACTTTACCAGTTCTCCTATAGCGTAGAAATTACTGTCTATTGGACTAGTGATTAAAGCTGTTTCAACTTTAATCAAACCCCTTTATTATCCCATACAGAGAGCCTTAAATACTTAGTTCTTGATCTTACCACAAAAAGCAAAAAGATTTTTCTCTAGTTCCTTTGCGCAAATCCCAAAGTTGCTAATACTCCAATAACCACAACGTCAGAGCATCCCTAATTCCAAGAACAGGAGTAAGAGAGAAGTCTACTTCTTTTCACAAAAAAACTGTCTTCTGAAAAGTTCCAGACTACAAACGCAGACACAATGTAGATACACACACACCTCACAGTCACAGTGTACAAATGCATTGCTGACTATTGCAAGTGCAAACACCATATATGCTGATAAAACATGTAACTCCAAACTAAGCTTCAGGCCTCAATATTTGCTTTTTGCAAGGACAACATATTCCAAGCTTATAAGGAAGCAATACCTATTCACAACAGTTGTTTGTCCACTAATTTACTATTCAGCTTGTTTAGTTTCTTTAATGATCCTGCAAGTACATTTCTAAATCCATGTACACATACATAACACAGCTCCTTCCATTCCTCTCTTCCCACTTTCTTCCCCCAAACCCAGAAAAAGCTCTTGCATTTTGGACAGTCACCAAATTAACCTCGTTGCCGTCTAATGAAACATTGTTCATATGAAAGTTCCACTTCACATAACACATTCTCATTAAATGGCTAAGGAGCAGGAACAAAAATACAAGTTTCACTATCACTGCCAATTCAAACAGTGCAGAAGACACGTTTCACTAAACCCATTGTTTAAAAGCCAATTTGGCACTCCAGCTATCTCTTGCCAAAAGAAAAAACTAAGCCCAGGAGAAACACTGACCATTTGTTACCCTTAACACAGAAGCCCTACCAGTACTACAGCCGAAGCTGAACACAGACCAAGTGGTTGCAGACGCCTCGTTATTTCATCGCAACCTGGTAAGTTAGAGACCCTGGTACACTATTGACTTGGCCCCCAAGACGCCCCCACGAATGCTAAAACCTAGAACCACATGGAGGAACTCTGAGAACAAGGGTCCCCTTTAAGTGCAAGGTATGACTTATAAAAAGCAGAGAAATTCTGGAAGGGTTTGCTCCTGTGACCTGAGGATAGGGTGCAGGTGGTCCTGATGAAAGCGAGGTGGACAAGGCCTGCTGAGTCGAGGCTCCCTGGGGGAAGCAGATGAAGAGCTGCGACTCTTGCAATACCTTCTGAGGCAGCTGAACAATGGGAAATGTGAAGTCTGAACCAAAAGCAGAAGATGACCCCCCTGTAGGGGGAGGAGACTGGAAATCGCCAGTGTCAGAGGAAGTCAGCTGTGAGGAATCACTGGAGTATTCTGGGCTTCCTTCCGGCCAGCTCCGCCTGGCTGAGCCCCTTCTGGGACCTGCTAACTCAGGACCAAGATAGTTACAGTGCTCCTCTGTCACAGGCTGCAGCCGACTATGCGACCCTATGCCTTGAGTGGATTCCTCTTGACTGGTCTCCATAGAGCCCCGGCGACTTCTGTAGACCCGCTGGGGGGGTAAAACTGCCCCTTCTGCTGGAGCAGAAGTCGGTGTGTGCACATGGAACTCAAAGACACAACTTGCTCTGCCATCACCACTGTGAGAGAGCACGGCCGGGGCAGAGTGCGGAACAAATACCTGGTGGAACGTCATCTGAGCAGGATCTGCACTCAGAGGAGCTGACACACTGGATAATGGAGAAAGGGGACCCATCCCAGAATCCAGCCTCAGGTTCTGAACATGTCTTGCCAGGTATGTTTGCCCCGATTGCAAGTCGAACACAGAGCTTTGTGGAGGACCACCTTGCCCATGGTTTGACTCAGAGACCTGCTTCAAATGTTGTTCAGTCGCATGAGAGTTATAAGCTACTTGATCATACTGCTCCGATACCTGTGATGGATAGTGCATGCCCACCAAATATACAGCTTCTGGATGCATTCTGTAGTGAGCATCCTCTGGAGGTGCTGGTCCAGATCTATAGTCACTGTGGACAGGAGCTGGCTCAAACACGGGATTAACTTGCACATGCAGAGGCTCTCCAGTGACTCTCTGAGCTGCTGTGCCCAGCATAACGAATGCCTCTGGTGTCCAGTTGGTGGGACTACCACCAGGCGGAACTAAACTCTGGCCAGTCTTCAGCAATGGCTGGAAGTGGCAAGTTTGGGCTTCCAAAAATGAGGTGCTCTTGCGCCGCTGAGCAACTGCCACCTTCGGCGGGCAGACAGGTGGTGGTGAGAAAGACACCGGCCGTTCATGAACGGTTGGGAAAAATATCTGTGAATCTGGGAACGTTGGTGTTCCCCCACGCGGATGCTGAGGCTGTATTGACATGAACAAGACAAGTAATTTATACATTAAAAGTGAAAGCACATCAACATGCACAGTTCACTAGGCAGTTCTGTGAAGTAACTTTATAGAATGACTAACTCAATTCATGGTCAAAAACATACAATACTTAGGAAGTTCAGGTGAGTTGTAAATATGCATTAAATACATCCATGGCAGGCACAGCCACAAATGGAAACATTTGCTTGTGTTAGAGCTGCTTTTCCAGTCCAATTTCAATAATTCGTAAAAATAAACCAGCTTTGATCCTGAATGTAATGAGATTTATTGTCACAGGCTATCCATTGTGATCAGTGCTTGAAAGCCAACCAAAGCCCTGAGGTTACTGCCATATGGGGCACATGAAAATTCAGAACTTGATAGCAGCAACAATGCAGAGCCTCTAGTTTGCATTTAGAAGATAAATTGGCATTAAATCTTAATATTATCCAATGCAAAAACCACGGTGCTAGTGTCCTGTATGCAATCCAGGGAGCTAAAGAAAAACCTTTTATGAGACAAAACTGAATCATTCCAGCCCACAGACAAAAAAAAAAGCATGACAACACGGCAGAGCCTTTGGATTCTGCCCAATTTGATCACCTCTTCCAATCTCTTTTGATCATACATTTTCATATAGGAAATCTGCACTCACTGAAACAAACCTAACTCTTGCCTGGACAATAAAACATTCACAGGTTCAGTAGTAGCAGAGTCCGTAGACAATTCCACTCCATCTTAGATGAGGCTCACAATTTTTAAGATTTGCAGAGAAATTTTCACTGAAGAGTTCTATCTAAGAATATCAAACAACTTTGTAATTCTGCATTTTTTCATCTCTGCCTACCGTATGCTAAGAGACAACATCATTATCAAACCCAAAGGGAAAAAAATTGCAAGAGTCAATAGCAAACATACTGTCTTTCAGACAGACGCCATTTATGACTTTTTCAAGACGCTGTTTCCACATTTTTCTGTTTCTCCCCATCCCCTTTCTTCTGGAAAAGCAGCAGCAAATTTCCATATTGACCAACACTAACAAGAAGGTCCTACAGGATTAAGAACTTCTCCTGTGTTCTGAAAACTATTTCCACATAGCTCAGAGAAGTACTTCTCAAAATTTCGTGTAAATCAAAGCTTAAAACTGAAAATGGACTACCTCCTGTCCTGCAAGCTGTCCTGCATCTACCCTTCTGAGGTACATGAAACCATGGCTTCTTCCCATCAAGCAGCAGCTGAAATGGCATTTCTGATTAAAACTTACAGAAAAATCCTCAAAAGAATTCATACTTTGAATTTCTAGTATCACTACCAAAGCTTTTAGAATAACCAGCCACAGCAACCAAGCTTTAAAAGCTGGTGGTTTTGTGCAGGCCTTAATTAACACTCAATGCTTGCTTAGAAGTCAGGGGGGGGAAAAAAAAGCTGGTCTTCTGACTTTAGGGGCTAAGAACTGGCCTTCCCTTTACCTTCTGTGGTACAACTGGGTAATCCACATTTATACTATCCTAAAACATAAACACAAAAATGGTCAGCCGCTGTTCGATAATGTTCACATGTACTGCTTCCCAAAGCAGATCAACGTTCCAGCAGCACAATATAAGGAATCAGCTCTTCATTTTCTCACTTCAAAAATGCCCAAAGCCCAGGATGTATTTAATGATAACTTATCTTACTGTGCCAGGAGGCAAATGGTAACACATACAGGACTGACAGACAGGGAGGGCAGGCTGGAGCGTCGATGCTTGCGTGGAGAGGCAGAGTGCATGGGCAGGACACTTTCCAGGGCTTTAGAAAGCTTTTCTGCAAAGGTTTCTTCAGGAACAGTCCGAAGGTAGAAAGGAGAAAGAGGTGCAGACAGCGCTGGTGGTGGGGTGCAAGGAGCACTGAGAGGGATGCAGGACATAGAGGGAAGAGCAGGAAGGTGGGGGACACAAACTGACATGCTACGACCACGTTGAGGCTGAAGGAGGAAAACAAAAGTTAAGAATTGAACATTTCAAAAAAAATGAAAACCAAAACCAGCAAAAACTACAATGAGGTAGAAAAGAAATGCAGACACACAATGAGAAGCCCAATAGGGACGACTATGTGTGCAAGAAGGTATGGGAAATGCTGAATGAACACCAACACAAACCAGGAACAGGCTATGTGCACCTCTGAGGACTGAAGTCTGCCTTGGGTTATTGGGCAGTGTGGGAAGTTCCCTAGGAACCTTACAAAGAAGCACGTGCAAGACAGAACAAACAGGAGAGAATGTTTTCTCTGGGGCCCATCTTGTGTATCCTCACAGCATCTGGTAGTCTGACAAATAAAAAACCTAAACAAAAAATCATGAGCTTTCAAACGCTCAGCCTTAGTTTACTGAGTGGATATGTGTTTCTACGTAACACCTCTCGAGTCTCTCTGCTTAGGCACCTCCCTGTCTGAATTAAGTGGACTAACTGTATGCAGCTGGCTCTTTAAAACTAAACTAAACCTTTAACTAAAACCTTACCATAAAAATTCAAACATCACACATTCTACGACGTGAGCTGTGGGGAAAAAAGTTGGTTTAATATGTGGAAAATTCAGTAAAATTAGTCTTGGACAAGTACTTTCCAGATGCTGGGCCAATAAAAGCATCAGGATTTTGTAACCTTGCCACAATCCAGAAGGCCATAGGTCAAATCCAACCAAATTGGAACAATGAGAATTAGGTTTTGGGGTGGTTGGTTTTCTGTTTTGGTTATTGCTTTTTTGGTGTGGTGTGTTTTGCTGTGGTTTTTTTAAGTGAATGGTAAAGATGACATTTTAAAGAAGAGGCAGTCTTTAACTGCAAGTTTTCCTACTCTAATGGTATATGCCTCTTACGGATGTAACCACAATTTCTTAACACAAATCAAATACACACCTTCAGGGGAAAAAATCTCAAAGTCTTCAGTGGAAACCTGATTTTAAAGATTTGCAATGTGAAAAATCTTGCTACGCTGCTCAAAAATTTGGGAGAGAGGCATAGAAGAACTCAAAGGGTTAAACAAACACTTTATCCATAATCTCCCCGTGCTCCAAGGCAGGGCTAGTTACAAATGTCATTCCTGACTCTAAACTATCTAAACTACTTGGAAACATCTCCAGTGATGGAGACTGCAGTACTTAACTGTCCTTGTTGGTTAGAAAAAAAACCCTCCCATACAATAATTCCATGCTGCAATTTAGGCTTATTATTTCTTATTCTAGTCGAAAAAAAATGTTGTGATATTAGCCACCTCCTATTCTACAGCAGCCTTTACAGCTCTCTTTCCCCTCAAGCTCATCTTTCATAGGCTTAGCTTAACTATTTCAGTCTTCCTACATAAACCATGTTTTCTGTATTTCTGGTGGGGTTTTTTTGTCACTTTCCTCTAAATTCTCTCCCAATTCACCCCCAAATTCACTCAAGTAGGGTGTCCAGGAAAGACTTACCAATGGCCAAGAGCAGAACTACTTCATGTAATGTGCTATTTGCCTTTTTCACAACAGCATGATGTTTTTGACCATGTCCAGCTTGTGGTCCAATGTAATTCCCAACTGTTGGGGGGGGGGGGAGTTGGTTTTGCTGCTATCTAGGGAGTTGTTGCTCATCCTGTACTTGTGTAGCTGATTATCCCTGTTTAAGCGTAAACCTTGTTCTTGTCCTGATTGAACTGCATTCTATTTCTTTTTAAGGCCACTTCTCCAGTCATCAGTATCATTTTGACTTGTCATCCTGTCTTCCCAACAAACTGTTAGTAGCTCCTGCAGTGTTCCACTCCATTCAGTCAACAGTGTCGTCATCATAGAGCACGAGCAGTGTGACTATACCTCTGTCATATGCTTGTTCTCTCATCCCCTCTCAAAAGGCTGTAGTCTTTCAACCTGGAAGCTAGCCATCCCAAGACAGTGAAATGGCTTCCAGTCCAATATATGCCCACACGTCAAAATATGGCTTACCCAGAACAAGAACTTTATCTAGAGGGATTAAAAACTCATTTGATCAAAGACTAGCAGTACCACACGCTGCAGGTTTAGCGCCTTTTTCAAAGATAGAGAGATGCTTTGCTTGCGAGTACAACCAGCATGTTTTCTAAAAAGCTAGTGACACCAATAATTCTGTCATAAACCCTACAGCCATAGGTACCAAAAAGAGCGAGGACCCTCAGTCTCACCTCAGTGTCACGTCTTCCCCCTTACGGTATGACTACATCATACCATAATGTCTCTGCCTCGGGTTTAGATTTTTGTTTGTGTAAAACACAAGCAACAAGGGAACCACTGAAGACAATATAACAGTAGCAGAAGTTCTACTCCAGCATTAGAATAGATTTCTGCGTACTCTCAGCTCTAAAAACATACCAAAAGAAAAGGGCAACACAAACGAACATAGTAGGAAAAGTATTTGTGCCCAGTGCAGACTTTCCAGGGAAAAGGAATACGTATGGCAACTGATGAGCAAATCAACGCAAGCTAGAAATAAAATTGGGAACAAGGGTGTAGGGTCTTTTCAGTCTGGAGTTCTCACATGCAGCATTCTATAACAGTTAAAAAATCTTACCTGCAGAATCTGTAACCAAAGCCTCACAGAACAGACACAGCAATTTCATACTTATACAGTAGCTCCAATTATTCTAATCCCTTCTTCAAATCAAAGTAACAGCTTGATCCCTGGTAACTTCACATACACACACTATCTCCCCACGTTTAAATTAAATGCTTACTGTCCTGAGACAATCTTGTTCTGAGGATGTTACTTCCATCCATGAAAAACCTAGCCCATCATTCTGCTTAAGTGCACTCAAGATTAAATATAAGCTTTAAAGACAAATACACCCTTGCACTCCTACCCCATTCCCCCACCCCCCCTAACTCAGTCACCTTGCAAAAACAGCCCCTTAACTACCCACATGCAGAATTTGTATCACATGCAAAACTAAACATACGTGGAAGAGTGCCTGGCAGACTTTCCTCTCACCTTTCAAGAGAAACACAAACTACAATGATTCCACGCGTCTGCAATGCTGTAAATTCTGGCTTACCGCTGCAGGCGGCTGATATCCTCCATGCTGTTGCGACTGCACTTGGCCAGCTGAAGCTGCATACCCCTGGACCGCAGCCGTTGAGATCGACTGGTCATGCTGGGAACCATATGACACAGTCTGTTGACTGCTCACACATGATTCGGTATAAACAGATGACCCCTGGCCACTGTCAACTGTCCCATCAGCTGCAGAAGTTAAAGGTAAAAATGTGCATTTCAAGAACTGCAGACTGGATTCACAACTTTAAAGATATTACAATCAATCAAATATTAGACTGATATTTGTGTCATGTCACATGAACCTTATCAGCATTTCACCTCTTGTAATCTTTAAACTGGTTAAAAAAGTCTTTCTTTTTTTTTTTTCATCCTGAAAATAATAATTCCTTACCAATATGCCTTACTCTAACTTCTAGAAAAAAAAAAAAATTTGTAATTTCACTTTGGGAAGGATACTCTGTAGTAAATATGCTTCCTATAAAAGGCTAGACTAGAAACAGAAACTTAAATTCCACATTGTTATGAGTGATCTTCCAGAGTTTTAAAATTCTTTTTATTTATTTAATTTTAAACAGACATATAAAACAGGTCTGTTGTGCTTGCTAGTGGATGCACCTGACGTAGACGCAGTAGAGAACTTCAAATCCATGTTAACTACAGAGCAGGCAGTAATTTGCTTTCTAACTTCACCATTCTAATTCAGAAGTTCTCACCTACCATCGTTATTTAAATAGCTATTCAAATGTTGGGATGGCAGAAGAGGAAAAGTTACGAGCATCAATTCATCTTTTCATGTATAGTACATAAAACAGAAAATGAAACCTTTTCCAGAAAGAAAATTATAAACTGCTGGTGCCTTAATCTCATTCCACTTTAAACATAAGTTAACAAGGATTCAAATAAGAGTTTCTAATAGCTCTGACTGCACCGGTGCAAGAGCATACGGCCCTCCGCAGGGCAAGAACATACTGTCCCTATAGGAGGGCAGCAAAAACTAGAATGTGTTCGTGCTTCAGGTGCCCCAGTTCACTTAGTGTAGTAACTTAAAGGGAAATGATTTTGTGCTAAGGCACTGGACTATGAATTGTGCCAAGACTTGGCTCAGCTAAGGCACAGGAATGTATCTTACTTTGCTGTGCTTTCTAGTGGGCTAATGTTCTTCAGCAGGCAGCAACGGCAGACAGCAACATCTTAAGATATTTACTGCAATACCCACCAAAAGTTTAAGACTCTAAGGGGGACAACTGTGTAAGTGCAAGAGTTCCTAAATAAACCAATTGACACACTTACAAAGAACAGATATACTGGGTTGCTGGAACTGCAGTTGTTGGTGTTGATCAGCTTCTGGTTCTTCAGGCTCCACTTGTGTAGAAACCGATGCTGAAGTAGTGGGGACAGGAGTAGTACCAGTGACAGATTGGGGATGCTTTGACCCTGCATGGGAAGCACTTGATGGTTGCTGTTGCTCCAGCTGCTGCTTCTGACTACCTTCTTCCTGAAGTTTCTTCTCCTGTTCTTCTCGCACCAACTGACGCTGCTCTCGCTTTCGCTTAATCAAAGATACCCTGTCCTTGATAGCTTTCGCCATTGTCTTGTGATCCCCTTCACAGACATAGCCAGATTCCACCTGAAGGAGGATATATTCACAGAATTCAGACTGTCAGAGACAGCCACTGTTGTAGTGCTACAATATAAGCTACCACTCTCTGGCACTAACTTCTCATTCACAAACTTCTGAAGCTGTTTTATTTCTAGACGGTAACAACAGCAAACGCAGAGGCTGACAGGCTACACCTCACTGTCAGAGAACGCCAGCACTTCGGATGCTCTGTAAGACCACCACCACTTACCATTTCCTGTGCTACATCCTCTGGGACGTCTCTCTCCAAGTCAAAGGAAAACTCTATTGCCTCATTATCTTTGTATTTGCCCTTGAGTTTTTTGATGTCTTCAATTCGCAGCCAGAGTTTAATGGCAATTTTTTCTCCATCATCTTCCTCTGCTAGTTCTACCCGTACTCCAGTCTCTTCTTGGAAGAAAGCATGATTCAAAAGGTCTTTAATAGCATACCTAGCACATTGGGAAAGAACGCAGAAAGCACACACAGTTATTAGGTTTTCATAAAGTATTAGCAATATCCTTGCCTGATGATTCCCCAGATTTATTCTCTGCATCTCACACTTCTCCCATGAATTATCTGAGCGCCCATCATTCAAATTCCTACTTAAGAGCATGATGTAGAAACAAAATGCAACAATGCTACAGATGTACAAAAAAAAATATCACGCACTGGTCAGCAGAAGTACCAACATATTTAAACCAACTGAACAGGATATATATTAACTCAAATAACAAGAAACCTTGAAGAAACAGTTTGGTTTTACTGAACACTAAGTTCCAACACAACCCTTAGTCCCCAGATCAGTACAGTAATCCAGATATACATTTCAGATCTTATCAAAAGCCTCATCTAGTAATTGCAGCACTAGATAAGAACCACATTATTCCTTTCATATTTTATGCTATTTTGAACCACTTCAACTTGCGTTCTGTTTGGCACAATTAGAAGGTCTGTCCTGAAGGTACAGCAAAGATCTATGTTCATAGGTGCACAGCTTTAATAGTAGTGGTCTAAAAGTTAACTGTTTAAACAAAATGGCATGAAATAAGTTATACGCAGCCACAAAATTAACTTAAAATGGAAAAAAATGAGAAAATACAAAATTTTTTCAAACTAAGATAAAGAATAGAAATTAAAGGTACACAGTAACACCGTCAGATGTAAAACTTCAAGAGTTAACAGAAGGGGATGAATAAACATCCATGAACTGACAAAACGAGCTCTGAACAGAATAGCGGGAGGATAGAAGGGCCAAAGCATTCCTAAATCAGACATTCAGTAAGCAACAACCATGTAAAAGCAGGAAACAAACCTCACAAATAAGCCATCAGAGGAGTTACAGATTTCCTGTAATCGTGTACGTTAATCAGGTCATCTTGCAAAAAATTTAGATGAAAATGAGCAGCAAGAATTTAAAAAGTAAAAAGAGTTCTCAAAATAATCAGCCATAAAATGCTAACAAAATCCAAAGGACAGGAAAAACAAAGGATTGTAGAATAACAAACCAACAACCAACCCAAACACCTGGGAACCCAGAAGGGTTGTCCTCCACTATTTTGTTGACTAAGTCAAAGTTTTATAAAAAGCAGTAGAATTTCTGAATAAACCTACATGGATGGTTACTACAGCATTTACACTTTTCCTGACACTGTCCATTCTCTAAAACAATCATCGAATAAGAATATAAGCTGCAAAGTAATACTGGCTTCCCTACTTTCATCAGGACACAGAAGACCCCAGGAACTAACTAGATCTGGCATCACCAAAGGTAAAAGGCCCAGACAACAAGTAACACTTCTGCCTGAAAAGAACGTACTTACCTCTCGCCTTTGTTTTGCCGAATGCATCCCTCAATAATCTCCTTCACTTCAGGGATTGCTACTTTGTCGAAGCTGGCTGGCTTGACACCCTGGAACATACAAGTGACAGAGAAACTGGAAGGGCCACTTCATTTAAGTTTTGATTGTGTTTACAGACCAACTAGTTTTACTCAATAGACAACTGGCCTGAATCCCCCACCAGCGCAAATTATAGAGAAGTCTGTTCCCAATCTTACTGCTCATCTGTTTGTTAGTGACTTTTGCAAACATTATTTCCCCCCCCTATTTCTCAGCTACACTTCCATAACAGAAGTCTTTGGCAGTTAGGTTCTCAGTTATGACAGCAGAACCGTTCCGTTTCCACAGAAGTTATGCTGATTAGAGGCAAGTAGACAGACTGGACTGAGAAGCTGGACTCGATGATCCTTATGGGTCCCTTCCAACTAGAGGTGTTCTGTGATTCTGGAGAATGAAAGGAAATGTTTCCTACGTAGCGCTAATCCACAAACCCACACGATTAATTTAACAGTCTTCAAAGGATTCTGCTGCTTCCCAAAATGTTTCCAGCATAGCATTATATGAAGCAATTTCGGCATAGATTGATTTTACAGAAAACACCTTAGCACAGAACAATCTGACTGGATCATTAAATAACTTGTCCAGTGTTTTAAAAAAGAAAACACAACTTTAAAAAAAAAAAAAAAACAAAAAACAAACTTTCCTATGTCTTAGCTCTCCCTAGAAGACCTACTGTACTCAAACCACACTCCTGCATGACTGCTGTTGTGAGTTCAGGAGAATGAGCTGAACAATACAGACCTTTACAAGTGCCCTCCAACACCAAACAGCAATCCTTTCTCCAATACACACTAAAGCCATTGAGGGAGAGCAAAACAAAAACTAAATATGATCAGCTACTCAAATCTGTAAAGCAAACCGGCCACGAGACCATCTGAGAATCCTGAAAAACACTGTAGGCAGAGAGCCAACCTTCATCACTTAATCATGACCAGAAGCTAAATTTCGGGGGCAATTATCCACAACAGCAAAATCTGGCATTCCATTCAGCCTTGAGCTTCAAACCCTGTATTTAAGAAAGCAGAATGAAAGAGGATGAAGACACCCTGTTCAAATTCTGTTATCTGAAGAACCCACGTTTTTGAGCCAAACAATCCTGAAGTCATACACTTGATGCATCTGACCCTGTCACTGGTCAACCACCACTAAACAAGTGAAAACCATAGAGTCTTAAGTACAGAAATAGTTGAAGCAGTAGTACAAGCATCATGATTTGTGTCCTAACCAGAAAGCACTTCTCCCAATCTCCTACATGATACTGCTTCCCACCAAATGGGGACATTAAGACACGACCCCTTCCCTTTCCTCTACTGTCAGCAGGACACCAGTCTTGAAAAGGAAAGGTTCGAGTCTCTGAACCAGAGCCTTTTCAACTACAGACCTTCATTTAGGTGAACATGGAGACTTAATATGATAATAATTTTCATCTACATTTACGTTTTTTTCCCTTGGCCAGACATAGCACTACATTGACTTCATATATTCACTACCTAAAATATTCTCTACCACACTCTTCCAGGAGAGAGCACAGTCAACATCAATTTAATTCCTGTTACAACAGCATTCTGGTTATCTATTTCTTTGCTCTACAGTTCGCTCTTATGAAATTCTATCAACTGAAATTCACAGAACTGAAGAGTATATAGTGACTAGAATAAGCCCTGAAACACCGTCTGCCAATGCCAATACTAACTTAGTGCTTTTAAAAGCTTCACTGAATATTAAGATTTCTGGAGATCAGTGCCTTGGCTGGCAAGACGCCAGACCGAAGCTGGAAGTTGGGCAGGTAAGTTTAATACCGTAACCAGGTCGTACCGTAAATTTCCAGCTTCCTATCAGGACACTGCAGAGCCCTACACTCTACAGGGAGTTATAAAACTGGTTGCACTGTTTACTACTGGCATGAAGTACCTGTTTGCATGTGTGTCTGCTCATACAGCAGACTAGTCAGATATCCACTTTTAATTATGACCAAGCTTAAAATGGTCCCAGGAATTCAGGTTCATACTAGATAGATGTTTCTATACATAATTAAATGCTCTCCTGTATACACATACATACATATATAGCTTATGCAATAATTATTCAACTGCTTATTGTATATATTTGTATCTAAATTTTCCAAAGTTCAACACATCTAAGTCTCCTAAATAGCTCAGACCCCAGACACAGCAGCAGCCTGCATGTATGTTCATTTACACCATGGCAGCAGAAGAAAGATGTCAGGTCTGTGACAACTTCATTTCAGAAAAACTGAAAGCTAAGATTAGTAAAACAACTGGTACAACAAAACATTAACTTAATGAAGCCAGAACATTATTTTCCTTGTTAACTGTTTTACCACATGCTCTGTTCTTGCACAAAGCCTGAAAAGATAAAGCTAAGAACAGATTATAAAATCACTGATTCGGTCTGGTAACCTGTGTTCCTCTATGCTAAAAGAAGTTAAATACGTGTCCAAAATCTTCAGGCCCTGCCATGAGGATCATTTTACAATACTCCATTTTGCGAATTCCAAAACAAGAGTTCTGTTAAAAAGAGCAGCCCCTGCCAGCCTCCTTCAGCGTAGCTTCTATGTTCCTAACCTCTCCTCAGAATGTCTGGGAGAACCTCACACTGGGCTTAAAACTAACAGAGGATTCCGCGTTCAAGCAGCTACGTGTGCCTCAGTTTGTTCCACAGTCCATAAGAAGGGTCACCCAAGCCTAGTGTACAGTACTGGCCAAGCACTCCTTGTGCTGAAGTTCAAGGCACCATCAGCTTTGAAGAACATTTTTTTTCCTCCTCCAAGCACCAGAGGAAGTGTCAAACTATTTTACACAACAAGACAGAGGATACTATGAATGATAAAAATCAATAAATCACTGAACCCTTTTTTACCCAGAGCTGCCTGTACACCTTACTCTGCCACTGCAAAGAAACCAAAGGGAGCCTAGGCCCCGCAATTCCCATAACCTTGATGTGTCCTCACGAGCACGAGCTGTGCACCCAAGCACACGTTCATTAGTTTCTGAACCCAAAGGCACTAAGGCACTAAGCCGTTCAGTATTTCCTGGTTTTCAGCACACTTACTGCAAGATGGTCACATTCTTACGTGCCTCTCCTGGTCCCCCAAACGCCTTAGAAGAATCGCAGAGACAGCTTAAATCTTTTAATCTACTAGTCCTATTCCCCAGTGGCAGTTTAATGAGAACCAAAGATCCAAATTCCCCTAACATTTTTTCCGAGTTTGCTAAAGAAACAGAAGGAAGAGCTCTTGCAGAGGGGAAAAAAAAGTGTGTGGATAGGTATAACAGGCATACATGAAAGTCTTCAACATTTTCTCAAGGTACCACCTAGAACAGGATGAACTGACCGTGCTGCGGAGAGCAGCAGCCTCCTGCTCTCCATATCCATTCCCACACGTGTCTCATTTCCTCCCTTTTGCCAGCACTTGCATCTATACAGCAGCATAATGAACCGGACCGTGGTGTTTATCAGACTTGAAACAAATCCAGCCAAAAAAGCCTGCAACCGTTTCCAGTGAGATGGAGCTCCCCAGTCTGGTTCCCACACCGTTACACTAGCTCTCCGGCTTAGACTGACATGCTGGTGCAATAGCTAACAAGGGCAGAACTGCTTCTTTTGAAATATGTGCCAACTTACAATAAAACTGAACACTTCCATTTTGAGAGCACCTCTAAAATATGGACATATATGTAGGTAGCACAAAGCGCAACTAATGCAAAACCAAGTAATTTTCTTACAGTCTTCATGCTAAGCATAAGAAGAGATTTCATATTTCATTTATCTTAGACATGGTAAAGTCTGTGATTATCAGATTTTAATCAGGTGAAAAGTGTGTTCCAAAATTCAACACACACATATACGGTTGTTTCATCTATTGAAGGCAAGTTCGGTATTCCTAAAACCACCACCTTTTCAAGGTACTTTAAACACCAAAGTATAAGCCACCCACAACTCCTCTTCACAGTTTTCGCCTGGAAATACGCAGTATTTTGTATTGGTTAGATCCCCAGATTACTAGGTCAGTATCTTAGCATCTTCTTCTAAGGCAAGAGATACTGACAATATAATTTACTTCAAACAGAAGGCACAATCAGTGTTGTATAACCTCTACGCCAAGCCAAAACGAAGACAGAGGAAGCGTTACATACCCTCAGCAATCCTAAATTTAAAAAATTAGTTAGATTTGGAATAACACCACAGGTGGAAAATAGCAAAAGCAGTAAGTGTTCCAGCCTTGCTGTTCAGGATTTTAATCATCATTTTAAAAACTACAGCAAAAAAGTACAGTTAAGTTTAAAAGCTGAAGACCCAAGCTACACAAACACAAAGCAGTCAGAAGATCTGTCAAGAATTCCAATTCACCCCCAATACCCTCTCCTGTGTCTACACACGCTTTACGGAGTTGAAATTCTCACTTACCTCTTTAGCACAATCCTTGTGAGAGCAGCAGCAGTGGGAATTAACAATTACAAATATGGGACAGATCTCTCTTTTGGTAAAATCCATCAGGAAAAGAGACACGCACACACCAAGGAGTGAGTCGGGTGCTAGTTTCCGATGGGAACCCCCCAGGCTGTGGACTTAGCGCACAGCGGAAGGAAAGCAGACATCAAGGTTAGAAGGGAGCATTGTTTTCTGTTTGACACCTCTTGTACTTTTCCAAGTCCTGTACATGAGGTTGCAGAGATCTGAGCTTAATTTCTGCTTTTGCCAGTCAAATGCTGAACAGAAAGAATCAGTATAACCCAGAGGCAAGCATCTCCTCCTCTGCCTGCCCAGCTGGCTGTCAGGAGGAGGAAGCAGAGGCAGCACAGGGATCCTTTACTCCCTGTGTATTCCCGCCCCCCGCTCGGCCTGCTCTCCACCCAGCTTTTCTGCCAGAGTTTAAGGCTGTGTGTGGGATCACCACCAGCTTCACTCCTGTCGCTGCAGAAGCACACTTTTCAGAGGGGAACAGGTCTGTCAGCACGCTGTTCTGACTCGAGGTTGCTGGCACAAATTT